TTTTTATTATAATAAGGGAGGTCAGATTGTACCAGTGGCTCTTCAAGTTTTTGCTGCTAAGATTCTAGCGCAATTATTATATGGAACTGAGGTTTGTACTTTTAAGTGTGTAGCTCCTTTTGAGACAGTTCAAACAAAATTCCTAAGAACAATTCTAGGTATTCCAAATTGTGTTTCAAATGCCACCCTTCGTTTGAAATTAGGTTTGTTGTCTGTTGAAGCCCGTATATGGATACGTAAATTCAATCAATGGCTTAAAATGACATTTGTACCGGTTGGGCTGGTGCCATTAATTATGACTGACTCTTTTTCTTCCTCTTGGAAGGAATCTCTTACTTCAAAACTTTTTTCTCTTGGATTTTCACCAGCAGCTATAGCAACTCTAGGATATGATAAAATCTGCCATTACACAGCGTATAAAGGACATTGATTTTCAAATACATTTAAATAAGTCAACCTTGTATCCTACTAGAGAATTTAGCAGATCTGGCAAATATGCCAGATATTTTGACCATCTGAGTATTTTGAAGTTTAGAAGAGCCTTCATGCTTGCAAGGCTTAACATTCTACCATCATCAGTCCTTGAAGGTAGATATACAAAGATCCCTTATCAGTATAGATATTGTCCTTGCGGTACTGAAGAAATTGAAAATATCAGCCATGTTCTTTTTTGATGTTCCTTATATGCAGAAATACGTGCCCTGTATATAACCCCAATTGTATTGCAGATACCAGGCAGACAAGAGAAATTTTATAGTGATTATCTTCTTGCGGATTGCAATAAAGATATAACCCGAAAAGTTGCTAAATTTTTTGCAGCTGCTATTGTAAACAGCAAAAAATTCTTAAAACAGATGTAAAGATCATCTTAAAGAGTTGTTATGACTACTGTGTTCTATTCGTGTTTATCCATTTGAAGCTTTGTCATAATAAATATGATTTGGTCGGTTATGTTATGGAAAAGAGATGTTTTAGGGGGGTACAGCCGTAGTGCAATTACCAAACTATAAACAGGCACCAGGAGACTAGATTTAGTAAGGAATGGTTAATCTGCCAATGTGACAAGGGGCCTGACTCTACTAAATCCCTTCAACTATCAACAAGAAATATGAGATTTAGTCACTGTATAGATATAACAAAT